CTTTCACTGCCACTTCGAGTTTTCTACGGAGTTAATCTCGGGCACTATTGTGATTTGAGGCACTAAATTATCATCACAGTTTTGTTATTGTATGTTTTCCGGTAGCAGATAATGGACTACTGGAAAAAGCGAAGTGGAACCAAAGCCCGAGTTTCTGGATCGTATCACTTTAAAACTATTTCTATGTAAAGATCCCTTCAGACCGATCACGTCTGTCATAGTGCTCTTTGCTTTCTTTTTTGTTCATGATTCCGTTATAAAAAATCTGAGTCTTTGAACAGTTATCTGAAGTCTATGACTTGGAAAATTGGTAACTACACTGCAATGCTCATTTCTGTTTGCAAACTTTGTAAACATATCAAACAGAAATGAATAAATAGTGTATTACTGAATTATAAGTGGAGATGGGTGGCATTCACTAGCCCGAGAATACCCTCCACATGCTAGCCTCTTCACCAACCATACATCAGTACACACTTATCGAGTCAGTAATTTTTACCGAGTTTTTGAATTGCGGTAAAATTTAAAAAATCTGTGAAAAATTCAAAGTTGAGAAAATGTGTTACGAAAATTTACAGACTAACTTCTGTTAACCCCGTGTAATGATGAAAAATAAAAAAATTCGATTTTATCCAATCTTTACGAATAACAGTCATTTGAATTTTAACCGAGTCAGTAATCCAAAAATCCAGTAAAAATAATAACTCCTGTAAAAAATCTAAGTGTGTATACAGAAGCAGCGGAGCTCCACACTCCTCCATCAAAACAGCACCGCAGCTGAGCTGCGAGTGCTATGAAATAAAAAGGACATCGACTTATTGATGAATCTACGCGAAACTGCACCAGTGCATGCGACACCTAGGATTGAAATCCTAAACCACAAAAGTCATGATGTACTAAAAAATATTCCATCCGATTTGACAGCTAGCAAAACGTCATTATCATCTTCACATCATTATTTCCATCTGCTGGCCGACCGTAACGTAGATTCATCAATTACCACTTACCTACTTCTCTCCCTTCCGCTCTCAGAATTCGCTGATTCGGTGTCTCTCGTTGTGTTTTCTGCTGAGACTGAGCAATATTCGATACCGCGAAACATCTCCGCAGTTATGTTTTCTTTCGGCGCATTAGATGTGCGGTAATCAAAAGTTAAGAATGTAGCTAAACATCTACAATAACATTCTACCAAATTTTCATGTGCGTTGTCCACTGCAACAGCCGAACGTACGAACAAATAGGGTGACTATAGCGCATTTTATGAAAACGTCACAAGTTTTTATCGCTGTTTTAAATCAATAATTACGAAGAAACCATAAAGCCTACAAGGTTACTACCAAAGACACAAATCTAGGGAACTGCATGGAAAATGTTTTGTAGAACAACTAAATAAACAGAAATGAAAATTTTCAACTCAAAAACACTAAAATGAATGAAATTTTACCAGTTTTTTTGGTACTTTCAACATACATTTCAATTTTAATGTATGATAGTTAACTTTAATCGAGTTCTTTTTCAAAGAGTATTGATAGCTAAGACTTTATTCTTTCATTTGGTATGTTGAAATCAGAAAACCACATTAAGATAAAAAAAATATAGCTAACCAAAGTTGGCAATACAAAAAAACATAAAATGTTGAATAACTCACTTAGCAGTCATTTCCGACCATATGTTTTATGGGGATTTTTTCATAACTTTAGGAGCCCTATCTACCCTGAAAATATGCAAAACCCGGAACCAAACACCCTGTATATATATATATACATACACGCTGAAACTAAATTACCATAATAAAAATACTCAAAAATACCTCGAAAATACTTTGTTCACGAAAAATACGTTTCATAATGAATTTAATACACTTTAATACAAAAAACTCAAAACTTAAAAATATATAAATACGAAAAAAAAAATACAAAAAACACCTTTTCTAGTCGGGTAGATGAATCGAAAATACTCAAGTTGACAGCCCCTCGGGAGTTATAGATGGAAATTCGCCAATAAAAATAATTTTATGAGTGTGCAATATGAGTTTAAGCTAATAAAACTAATAGTGGACGTTTTTCCTCAACAATCTAACGTAATGCTACGTAACGGGTGTTCAATAAAAAATGAGATTTTTTTTCAGTCATATAGATAGAATTTTTTTTTTCAACGAATTCAGTATTTTTTATTAAAAACATAATGTTTATTCTTAAAACAAAAGGTCAATGAATATTGATGAATTTACGCGAAACTGCATCAATGCATGCGACACCTGAAATCCAAAACCACAAAAGCGATGATGTACTAAAAAACAATCCATACGATTTGACAGGTAGCAAAACGTCATTATCATTTCCATCTGCTGGTCGACCGTAACGTAAATTCATCAATTGGAGAAGGGGCCCTGGTCAGCCGTACGACGCAAGTTAGTCGTGATGCTCTCACAAGAGCGCTGGACGGCACTGAAATCATTCTCATTTTTGTTTATTGAACACCCGTTAGTTTGTTGACAACCCCGCAATATTCAAATATAAAAAATCAAATTGATTCACATTCCTGGAGCTTGGCTGCTATTTATTGAAACGCAAATTGCTGTTCTTCTGATCAAAAAGTCTTTTATAAACTAAACAGTCTGAACTAAATACGGCATGGTTGACGTCCAAGTTCATTTTACGTTATTTTTTCATTTTCAAACAATTAATACATTTCAGTACAGTTGACGTACACTCCGACGTTTTGTGTTGTTGACGCACCTAGCACATCTCTCACAATTTGCAATTGTGCTCTTGTGCCCAAATTCTCCACATTTGAAACATCTCAACTTTAGTATATTGTTGTTGTCACGTCTGTCTGTTTTTTTTGTCAAGGTGGAAACTTTCAAAAGGCCATCGTGACACCGCTTGAAGACTGGGCACAGTCGCTGTAGCACGGTGTGTGGGATTCTTACCGAACTAAGACCTCTTTGGACGCCTTGCCCTTTTCCCCCGGAACCACTTGTCGTATCACTTCGGAGGGGGCCTGTGCATTACGCACTTCACTTTACCTCAGCTAATTGGCGCTTCCAGTTCGCTGATCGTCTCTCAAATTTGTGAGCCATTTAGCTCCCAGCGTCGAGTTCTCTCGGCTTCGGCTTTCACTTCGCACTTGTGTGAGCACATTACTACTTTCTAGCCGATACAGGTACTTCCTGAAGCAGTCATGACCAAATAAGAACTGTGTCAAGTGGAAGTTGACTTCTCCATGCTTCCTGTTCACGCAGGTCGAAAGAATCGGTATTAGCCTGTGTGTCCGTTCTACCGTTCTCTGCTGCATCCCACTCCTGCTGCCACTTAGCCATCGACACCGTTCTCACCATTTTTCGTACTCCTCTGGTGTCTCTCGTCATACAGGACTCGTAGTCCTCCACCAAGGTGATGCCGATTGGGATCATACCGGCGATAACGCATACTGCCTCCATCGAAATGGTTCTGTACGCACTCACGACCCGCATGGCCATGAGCCGGAACGTACTACTCAATTTCCTTTGGTTCTGCTTCGTTTTCAGCAAACGCTGGACGCTTCGTCTTCCACTTTCGCTCGCTTACTTTCGTCCTCCGTATTTCCACCGGTGTCCGTTCGCCGATACTGTACCGGATCGTCTGATGGTCACTATGGGTGTACTCTTCGCACACTCTCCAGTTCATATTTGCCACTAGCGACGTACTGTAGAAAGTGACGTCGATAATGGATTCCCTACCATCTTTGCGAAAGGTGCTGATGCCAGACTGACGTTCAACTTTGCCAGAGCTTCCAGCAGGCTATAACATAGAGGTAACTCTTGCGTTGGTAACTGCTCTCCCAGTCCACTGTCCAAGCATTGAAATCTCCTGCGATGACGACTGGTTTCCGTCCAATGAGCTCTCCGGTGAGCCCATCTAACATCTGGTGGAACTGCTCAATTGTTAATCTCGGGGGTGCGTAGCAACTACATACATAGATTCCATTGATTTTGGCGATCACAAAACCTTCGTATGAGCCCGACACCACTTGTTGAATGGGATACCTGCCCATTACTTGTATGGCCGCCATTTCTGCTCTATTCGCCACCCAGTTGCCATTATCGAAAGGGACTCGATATGGCTCTGCAATGATAGCAACGTCGCACTTTGTTTCCGTTGTCGACTGCCACAACAGTTGCTGTGCTGTGTTGCAATGATTGAGATTTATTTGGGTTACCTCCATTAACTCCGTTACCTGGGCACCTGAAACTTACCGTCACATGGCCGTTTCTGTCTGTTTGTCTGTCTGTCTGGTTTTTGGGGCAGGGAAAAGTTCTTATGATGGTTCGAGGCCCCTCCCCTCACTGTAAAGGGGGGCTCCCATACAATTGAAACAGAAATTTCTGCATAACTGAAGAACTAATCAAGCAAATGGAACCAAATTTGGTATGTGGAGGTCATAGGAAATAGCCCCGTAGATAAGAGGGGGGGGGGGCTACGTACAATATAGCATGTTTTTTAATTAGCGCATAAACTCAAGCTAATATTGAATCCCGAGCAAGGCCGGGTACTCTGCTAGTAATCGTATAAAAGTGCGCTTTTACGTTAAATAATTTTTGTGTCTTCATGAAAATAATAAGGAGTTCAGTTTCAAATACAAAATACAATATGTATTTACAATTTTTCGTATTAATATTTTTCTAACGAACAGTCCGTGCCATATTTCACTGTACACTGATACAATTTCAAAGATTGTTTTTATGTGTCCCACACATGAAATTTTTCAATGTGATCAACAAATGATATCTATGTGTCGGACACATACTTAATATGTGTACACATAAAAGCCATCTGTAACCACACATACTATTCATTTTACTCATAAATTTCATGTGTGCTTCTGGGTGGATTTTGTTATATGTATGTGAATTTTACATGAAAATTCGTCAATAAAAATGTGTGGAATTCTATTAGTGTACTGTAACTACTACATGAATTGTGATATTTTAATAATCTGTTTCTAAGTAATCTGTAGATCTTTCCTTTATTTCACATTGAAATCATTATTTTCTTATTACTAAGTTATCAGCAATATCTTTCAAGGCACCGACATTGAAACGCTGCAAGAGAATAAAAAGCTAACAATACTGAATAAAAATGAATTAAGAAAAATAAACTTACCGACGTTAGTTCTGTTACGAAGGCTAAGAGTGACCGTTTGGGAGGTCTGCAGTGCCGTTTGCCAGATTCTTGACAACAGAGGTTAGGAAAACAATCCAAAGTACTGTTACAAGGCTTAGGATGAATGTCAAATATCACAGGTGGAGGAGGAGTACATTGCAAGTATTGTGATACAGCTCCAACTGCTGTAAAAAAGTTGGAATTATTTCGTTTGTTTTGCTTAATATAAAAATAATATTAATCATGGCAGGATTCTCGGACTTCTCAAATATAGGCTGTGATGTTCGGCAATACTTTTTTTCGCCATCGGGACAGCATACACGAGGCCAGCAATCGTTGTCTGTTTGACACGTTTTAATATCCCAAAATGTTTCTGTTAATGGCTGCTCAGGACAGCGTCTTGGTATTCCAAATATAGCTGAAATTAATTAATATTTTTTAGGAACGGTATATGCATTGCAAAAAATCTTAATAAAATAATACGACGGTCTCATCTTCATTCTATTGCCACCTAATCTTATACTTTTCGAAGGTTTTTCAGATAATTGCAAATGCCCTGGCAGATACTGATAAAGTAGAATTCCTTATGGAAAAAGTAAGTGAAACGGAAATTTGTTAATAGTTGGTTTGTCGATGCTGTAGTATCCGTTGTAGATAGTTTTCCATAATGCGCAAATTGTTTTCATTCCACGCACCATTTTTCATGTCGTACAACAACAACAACAACAACAACAACAACAACAACAACAACAACAACAACAACAACAACAACAACAACAACAACAACAACAACAACAACAACAACAACAACAACAACAACAACAACAACAACAACAACAACAACAACAACAACAACAACAACAACAACAACAACAACAACAACAACAACAACAACAACAACAACAACAACAACAACAACAACAACAACAACAACAACAACAACAACAACAACAACAACAACAACAACAACAACAACAACAACAACAACAACAACAACAACAACAACAACAACAACAACAACAACAACAACAACAACAACAACAACAACAACAACAACAACAACAACAACAACAACAACAACAACAACAACAACAACAACAACAACAACAACAACAACAACAACAACAACAACAACAACAACAACAACAACAACAACAACAACAACAACAACAACAACAACAACAACAACAACAACAACAACAACAACAACAACAACAACAACAACAACAACAACAACAACAACAACAACAACAACAACAACAACAACAACAACAACAACAACAACAACAACAACAACAACAACAACAACAACAACAACAACAACAACAACAACAACAACAACAACAACAACAACAACAACAACAACAACAACAACAACAACAACAACAACAACAACAACAACAACAACAACAACAACAACAACAACAACAACAACAACAACAACAACAACAACAACAACAACAACAACAACAACAACAACAACAACAACAACAACAACAACAACAACAACAACAACAACAACAACAACAACAACAACAACAACAACAACAACAACAACAACAACAACAACAACAACAACAACAACAACAACAACAACAACAACAACAACAACAACAACAACAACAACAACAACAACAACAACAACAACAACAACAACAACAACAACAACAACAACAACAACAACAACAACAACAACAACAACAACAACAACAACAACAACAACAACAACAACAACAACAACAACAACAACAACAACAACAACAACAACAACAACAACAACAACAACAACAACAACAACAACAACAACAACAACAACAACAACAACAACAACAACAACAACAACAACAACAACAACAACAACAACAACAACAACAACAACAACAACAACAACAACAACAACAACAACAACAACAACAACAACAACAACAACAACAACAACAACAACAACAACAACAACAAACTCGTTCGCTGTCCCATACAAAAATCCAACATGGCAGAATTAGAACACCTATATGTAGTCACCTTGGGCATGACATTGAAGGAGCGTAAGGTAGGAAACTCTTTTGTTTTTCTTTATTTTACCGTCTCTGGGGTAAACAACGGGTGACCGTTGCTACTTTTTACCTTTTTCCAACGTCCGCCGTGTGTAAGCGCGAGAAAGTGGTAGAGTAGGGTAAGGAATTTGGTGCACTGTCATACCTTCTGTTAACCAGTAAGGATGCAGAAAAACCATTAAAGTCGGATCCTTTCATTGTTGGAAAGTCGGTAGAAGATGCTGCAGGCGGATCAATTGAAGGAGCATCGACAGAAGCTCAAGGAACTCGATACACGCTCAGAGTTAGGAATCAAGTCCAGGTCAATAAGCTGCTAAAGTTGTCCACTTTTTTGGATGGTACTGAGGTCGTCGTTCAGCTGCATCCCAACTTGAATGTGAGCCGTTGCGTTATTTCATGCTTTGAGGCGATCCGCATGGAGGAGAAGGACGTCCTACTTGGTCTCATTAGCCAGGGGGTCATTCGAGTCCAGCGAATCACTCGCAAAGAGCACGGTAAGCCAGTCAACACGTCAGCCCTGATCCTTACGTTTAACAGGAGCAACTTCCCGTCGCATGTAAAAATTGGTGTCCTTCGTGTCGCTACCTATCCGTACTACCCTAATCCTCTCTTGTGCTATGGGTGTGTCCGATACGGTAATCCCCGTGTCCGATGTCCTGGTCCGAAACGCTGCCTTAACTGTTCTGCCGATCATGAACTGGCGGAGGATAAACAGTGTACAGCAGCTGCCCACTGCATCAATTGTGGTGGACCTCATCGTTCGAACAACCGTCAATGCCCGGTTTATAAGAAGGAAGTGGAAGTGATCCGTCTAAAAGTGGATCATAATCTGACGTACCATGAAGAACGCAAGCGAATCGAAACAGGAACAGGAAGTTACGCCGCACCTGCAGCCCAGCAGACTGCCAACCGGAATAAATTGGAGGAACTAGAAAAGAAAATGGAGGAGAAAGACGCCCAAATTGCTCAACTTCTTGAAGTGATGAAAAAGAAGGACGAAAAAATTGACAAATTAATGGGACACATTAAACTGATTCGAACACCGAAAGTTCAACAAACCCCGCTAGCCCAGCCGAGTAAATCGATCCATCCTTCCGAAAGTCAATCGAGCCAAGCAATCGAATCGAACCTGCCTTCTCAACTCATGAGAAAATCCGGAGAATTGCAGATAGCCGCACCGTCGATGCATCTCAGAAGTAGATCGCCAGCGACAACGGAATCTAGACACACCAAGAAGAAGAAAAGGCACGACAGGAGCAACGACACCTCACCCGGCCGACAAAGCCCACCGCTGAAGAAGCCCGTTGAAAAAACACCGACATCCGACCAGGAAACGATAAGCGTCAACGAGGATGAGATCGAAGAGACGCCCTCTAGTCAGCATCTTCGATAAGATTCATTCCTCCAAACGTTTACCGACCAGCAATTCATACCTGACAAGCGAACCGGACAGCAACAACGATCGACTTGAAGGGAGGGAAAGTGTAGTACCCCTTTCACTCTCACTGGAGAGAGCGCAGCAGGCCGGAGGACCCATCCGGGACGTCTTACCCCAACCCGTTGATGGAGAATCCCCCTCTGCGGTCGATTATGAAGCGATAGAACAATATACCACCTACCCTACCATAATACCACCTCGTTTTTTACCCACAACAATCGTAAATTCGCCAGCCAATACAAGCGCTTTTGATAATCCCGTCTCACAACAACGTTTGGATAACAATGATGACCTACACACGAATACTGACAACGAAGGTAATCGGTTTGGAAGTGAGGAAAGGGAAGTACTCCTTCCAACGCAAGTACAGCAGGCTGAAGGAACCATCCGGGACGTCTATCTCCACCCCGTTGATGTTGAATTCACCGCTGTAAACGATGGAAACTACGACACAACCACGACACTGGAAACTTGGGATAGACGGCAGGGTTCATCCCTTCTTTGCCCTGGCCGCCGCCCTACACGAGCAACCAAAATCAACAGCACCCCGTCACTCTCTTCACTCCGAGCTCTTCCATGGATTTCAACGCCTGACACCGTAGCAAGCAACGATACTACACAAAGTCTTTCCCCAGTGTCGGCTGTTGCCGGCAATTTGGGAAGAAATCGTGTAGTAGTTTCGGCAACGGCTGACACTGTGAGCCAAGACGTCCCACAGGTCAGTCCCATCTCGATACAACTGCGAAAAGGTACTGCCGTGCCCAATATCTTTACAGATCATGTTACATCCCCACCAGAGCTATATCCCGGAGAAAGTCCTTCAAGTACTCTCGACGAGCAAATATTACACAAAGTGCTTCCCCAGTGCCGGCTGTTGTCGGTATTGGAAAAACTAGTGTAATGGTTTCAACGGCAGCCGGCACTGTGGGGTCAAGCGTCCCACAGGCAAGTTCTGAATCGATAGAGTTACCAGCACCGATTACTGCGGCACCTTGCACTTTTACAGGCGACCCGCCACCGACACGAAGACCATCACTATCCTCATCGTCATCCATCACACGGTCAGCTAGTATCAGTTACCACGGTGGCTGCTTCGCACTTCAGTGGACTATTCGTGGGCTCAGGGGCAACATCAGCGAACTGAAACTCCTCATAGCCGAGCTCGAACCCTGCATCATCGTACTCCAGGAGACCAAGGTGAATCAGACTGTCGCACCACCAGACTACCCAAGTAACAATTCAAGCTGAACAGTTAGAACAGAAGCTGATTATTCGTTGATTTAAGGTGTACAAAGCTGATTAATAGCAGGCTGAATGTATAGTTGATAAGTAGTGCGTGAAGCTAATTGTATTCCCCTAATTAAACCTCAATAAGTTAGCTAATCTAAAGATTGAAGAAGCCTTATTTAAGCTTAACACTACTCCACAAATCAGCAATGCACTACCAATATTTTGATAGCCTGATTTGTTAAATGTGGTCAGTCAGTCGTTTCATTTTCTGTCATTTTGGTTCTTCTAAATTCACTGCCTACCTTTCTAATCCCAAGCAGCGGCAGCAGTAGAGACAAGTTAGAGGAGCTTTTTAGGAATATCTCCAGGTAGAAGTGGGCTGCAACGACGTCGGAAGCATTGACATTTGTATTTCTGTGTTTTGAATGCTATATTGCACTGAATTTGTAGACAGAACTCCGAAAATATAACTCAATTATGGCACTAAAACAGCTTCCACATGACGATCGAAATAAATCGCGCACTTGTGTCCACATTTTGTTAACTACACTTGAAAATGAGATGAATGTTTTACTGTCACCAGTTGTTGTTTACAATTCTGCATTGCTATATAATACTCTTCCGGTTGCTTTTATTCAACATAAATTTGACGTGTTTCAAGTTAATGATCATACCTTTTGCCACACATATGCTTAAGTGGTCCAGTAGGTATGATTGATGCATGTGAATCTGTGACTACGGGTTCGAACCCCGAATTGCAAAGGTAAGTTTTAGACTTATAATAACAATATAAATATGTAAATCCAATAAGCACCTTGCTGAAGTCCCATGAAAATGTATAAGATATGAAGAGGTCTTCAATTATTTTTTTTTTCTAAATAAAAGTAGAAGGCTGAACAAGGGTTGGAAAATACTGTTATATAATGCCTTAGAAAGCTTATAATTTATATAACTGATAAGCTCTTGGCTGATTAAAATCACCAGATTTAGATGTTTAAAAACTGGACCAAGGTTAACGTGGTCTATGTACAACAATTATTCAAACTACGACTGAATTAAAATCGATTGAACAACACTTGTTAAGCATCAAATTGTTACCTGGGTACATCGGCAAGAACTACACGCTACTGTTGGAATCCAATAACACGCACTACTGGTAACACGGGGTTGGTCTTGGTGTCCGAGAAGGCATACCTTTCGAGCGACTGCAAGTAGACACCTCCTTACACCTCGTCGCTGTGCGCATCCACACACCGATTCAGATAACTGTAGTCTCTATCTACGTCCCGCCGAGCTCAACACAGTGTCAGGATGCGTTGAGTGATGTACTCGACCGAGTGGAAGGTCCTATCATGTTTCTGGGGAATTTCAACGCTCATCATCTAGCATGGGGATCACAAACAGTGAACGCGCTCGGCCGTTTCATCTCCGAAGCTACTTTGGACAAGCGGCTGGTAATTCTGAACAATGGCTCACCCACTGCTCCAAGAGTGTGGCTCGCAGATTCACGTGGCGAACCCTACTGGACACGCACAATAGTGACCATTTCCCGATAACAGTTTCTATTCCTGGGTGGTCATCCTCACGAACGACGCGGCGGAAATGGTTGTACGATCACGCTGATTGGTCGTTATATGAACGTATCACCGCAGAAACCATCCGGCCAGATGTTGAATGGGACGTAGACAGCTTCACGGAGATGATAATTGCAGCAGCAACTCGTGCCATACCGCAAACCAGTGCCTAAAGCGGTATCATGGTGGTGCCCTGAAGCGAAGACGGCGATTCGACATCGACGAAAGTATCTTCGATCTCTGCAGTGCCTGCAGACATCTGATCCTGATCAACCCGCTGCATTGGCGAGGTTTCAGGAAACCAGAGCTGTAGCACGGAAGGCGATAAAGGAAGCAAAAGAACGATCGTGGGAGAACTTCGTGGCCAAAATTGCACCAAGCAGCACGACAACCGAACTGTGGCAAATGATGAGCACGCTACGTGGCAGCCGACAACAACGTACCATCGCACTCAAGCGATCGGATGGCTTCACCGATGACCCCGAAGAAACTGCGGAAGCGCTAGCCAGTTTTTACAGCGATAGATCTGCGACCTCCAGTTACCCTACTTCTTTTCAGAAGACTAAGGCAGCAGCTGAAAGAGAGTCCATGGATGTTTCACCAAACACGGACGACATGTACAACAGCGACATTAACCTAAGCGAACTTCTGTGGGCTCTCGAGAAAGGGCGAGCTGCCTCGACAGGACCCGACATGATAGGGTACCCAATGCTTCGACGTCTACCTTTGTCCGTGAAGATGACACTGCTAGTGCTGCTCAACCGGATCTGGCGTAGTGGAGAGTTTCCCACCAGCTGGCGAAATGCAATCGTGGTGCCCATTCCGAAACCAAACTGCCTCGATACCGAACCCGCTGCGTTTCGTCCAATCTCGCTCACCAGCTGCATGGTGAAGCTGCTTGAACGCATCATAAATCGACGACTGATCACCAAGCTAGAGTCGAGCGGGCGACTCGACAAACGACAGCACGCTTTCCGTGCCGGGCGAGGCACCGACACGTACTTTTCCGAGCTCGAGAGAACGCTTCCAAGCACAGACGAGCACTATCTGATAGCATCCCTGGACCTGTCGAAGGCTTACAACACCACCTGGCGGCGCGGCATAATCCGCACTCTGAGGTCATGGAGAATACGTGGTCGATGCTGAACATGATGAAAAGCTTCCTCTCGGAGTGAACAATCCAGGTATTCGTTGGGGGGCATATGTCTCGCCTTTCGGGCTCGAGGTAGACAACCTAACGTTCCAGTTCGGGATATTTTGGCTTAACGCGATTTGGAGTTTATGAAACTCATATATGTTTACTTTAGGAATATTAACATTAGATTGTAAGTTTGATTAACCTTGTGTTTAGTTTGTATTTTGTACGTGTGGGTTCTTTTTTATGTTTGTTTTCAAGATGAATAGAAATTAGTTCATGTTTTAGGATTAATTAAATATTTGTATCGTAAACCACATCTCAAACCTCCCTCTCCCTTTTCCCATCCAAAAAAATTGTAAATCTCCACTAACCTCGAGACAACCGCGAGTATCCGGTCCAGCTCCTTTAACTTTAAAAATAAGACATCAATAATGTATAACGAAAATGATAACTCGGCTCTGTAAAGTTTATTCGATTGAGCCTGTACAAATAAAGTAATTATTAAAAAAAAAAAAAAAATGTCTCGCCAGTATTCGTTGGAAAATGGAGCTCCTCAGGGCTCTGTCCTGTCAGTGACGCTGTTCCTCATCACGATGCGCCCATCTTCCGAGTAGTGCCCAACGGAGTCTTCATTCTTTTGTACGCGGACGATATCCTCTTAGCAGTGCGAGGTGCTAAAACTGAAGGCTTGCACCGAAAACTACAGGCCGCCGTAAAAGCCATCAACAAATGTACGAAAAGCGTTGGTTTCACTGTGTCGGCAACAAAGTCACATGTCTTCTACTGCAGTCCGAACGCAAGACGGGATCCCGTGCGGGATATCTCTATCGAGGGAACTCCCGTGCCGAACACCAACCGGCTGAGAATTTTAGGTGTAACCATGGACCGAACTTTAACCTTCAAACCTCACTGCAATATGGTTAAGAAAGCATGCGAATCTCGGTTACGGATTTTACAGATGATCGGCGCAAAACTTCCTCGTGGTAATCGGACTTATCTGCTGCAAGTTTGGTCAGCCATAGTTACTGCGAAGCTGCTCTATGGGATTGGACTTGTTAGTCGAGGAGGGCCAGCAACCTTGCAGACTCTCGCTCCTGCCTACAACAAAATGGTTCGCTTTGCTTCCATAGCATTCGTGACGAGCCCGATTAACTCGGTGATGGCCGAATCTGGGACTCTACCCTTCGAACTGCTAGCAGCACAGACCACAGTACGCATTGCCATCCGAATGCTCGCAAAGAATCCAAACAGCAGCACCCTACTTCTGATTACACACGCTTCAAATCGCCTCCAAGAATTAACCGGTTCTAGTCCTCCTCCAGTCACTCGTGAGGCAGAGCAATCGCTTGTGGCACGCACGAAAACCGACGATAGAGTAGGATATGAAAAGAAGCATACGCGCTGGAGACCCACCGGAGAAAGTTCGTCCAGTTGTTCGACAATTACTGGAGACCTGCTTCCTTAGTTCAACCATCGTCTACACGGACGGCTCCAAGTGTGAAGACACGGTAGGAGCTGCATTCTTCAACGAAGGGCTATCTAGGACCTACAGTCTTCCGAAGGAATGTAGTGTTTTCTCTGCGGAGGCATACGCTATTAAAATGGCCGCCACCATCCCTAATGTTCAAAATGAGTTGGTTATTCTCACGGACTCCGCAAGCTGCCTACTGGCTTTGGAGGCTAGAACTTCCCGGCACCATCCCGGCAGAGAATCGTGCAAAGCAAAATCATTCGTTTCTGCTGGATCCCTGGACACGCCGGCATCAGGGGAAACTATAAAGCTGACCGACTAGCCAATGAGGCTAGAAGACAACCAGCCATCGACGTACCGATTCTAAGCGAGGATGTGATAAAAGCGGTGAAACATGCGATACGTGGTCAGTGGAATAGGCAGTGGTTTAGCACAACAGAATCGAAGCTGAGGGAGGTGAAATTCGACACGCACAGATGGACAGAACGAGGAAGTTCAGCCGACCAGCGTATGCTTACACATCTGAGAATCGGCCATACGCGACTAACCCACACGTTTCTTCCGAAGAAGGAAGCCCCACCGGTGTGTGAATGTTGTGGCACGGTGTTGGATGTAAAGAACATCATTCTTGAGTGCAGGAAATACGACGAAGAGAGAAGGAAAAATGACATCAGCACCAGTCTACGTGAAGCTCTGGACAACACGGAAGAAAGAACAACACGAATGCTTAATTTCCTACATGAAACGGATTTGTACAAAAAGCTCTAGAATAACAAATTACAAGAACTTTAGAATAACAAATTGCACAGGTGAAAGAAAGATTAAGCAACACGAAGTAGAAGACTAGAATAACAAATTAAAATAACTGTAGAATAACAAATTACACAGGTAAAGATGGTAGAAAGATGAAGCAATTCGTGAAGAAAAGCGAAGTAGGAGAGTAGTATGAAGTTAAGCGAAGGAGAAAAGTAATTGTTTGGAAGCAAGGAAGAAAAGAAGAGGCAACTGAATTGTAGCACTTACACTAACAAAAACACTTGCACACCATACACAATACACCAAACAACAAATCGAACGGACATGAATGCATCGCGGAGATGTAAAATGTCCTTAAAAACAAAACAACAACAACAACATTGCTTTTTTACGCATACAAATATTATTTTGGTGTAAAGTGGCCTGGTGCTCCAGATAATCCGGTTTTATCATATAAGTGGAAACTTCATAAAAAATGAACGTTGTGATATTTCCAATGTGTTCTGAACCGCTGCTTTCCACATTCTGCTTTCCCTATTTGCTACTATTCCTATTTTGCTGCTTTCCCTATTTTACCGGGAACTTGGCTTCATCTCTATATCTCTCAGCTCCGGGTTAATTTTATCCCCTACAGAAGTAAGGTTTACAGTGACTAACGAAAAATAAAGATTTACTTACGGTCATGTACTGGTTCTTGAATGGGCATCAGTACGCCTGGTACACATCGTTTACTCCCGAATAAGTTACAGCATCTCGAATTATTGCCAGTCTTTTTACAATCTCGGGTTCGCCTACACAGTGTTGGTATTAGTTGAAATGGAACCTGTTTCTCTTGTGGGCAGATTAGGAGTGTTTTTCCTTTTTTAATCGTACGGATTTTCTTTGATTTTACCTCGTCTATATCAATTTGAGCCACACTTTTCATTACAGATAGGGTATTATTATTTGCATCGGTAAGGTTATACACATCTGTGAAATAATAGTGAAACGAATTTGAAAAGAATTAAATTATTGCTCTAGAATTCATTATTTTAATTTTGTTTGATATCACTTTTTCAATCGTAACTTATGATCGTGTTCAGTGAGAGTATATTCAACTAAAATTGAAAAACCATAAAGTTTAAAATTAACTCTGCTATCTTAGCCTAGCAACCTTTAACTTTTCGTTGGCACTCGACCCTCACCATTTGTACATTTCAGGGATCATGGCTGAATGCACTTTTAGTTGGCACATCAAAGGCTGCCCAGAATTCTTAAATGTAAGTATAACTCCAAGTTAACATCTCTGATCCCGCAAATGAAGTCAACAGGCTTATCGTATCAATCATTGTTATCGAATGCTTGGCTATCGAAGAATTCAACGTGGAGAGACTATTGCTTTGGTAAAGTGAACAATCAGGGACTTATAATGGACTTTACCCTGATATGGACTGATCATATCAACAAAGTCACCAAAAGGGCCTATAATTCCCTTTATATGTTCCGGCGCTTCCATGGAATGCTCTCTATACAAACCCGTTAGAAGATTGTCCAAGCTGTGATGATTCCGTTCTTCTCCTACAGTAACGTTGTGTTTAACCTAGTACTTTCAGCCGTACTTAAATTGTCGATGATGTTCGTGTACGAACCGGAGCAGTGCGACGTTCTATATTTGGATGCGATCTTCATGAAAACTACAACCGCCATATCTATCAGGTAGCACACAGCAAGGGTTGAATTTACACAAAAAATACCGAAAAACTAAGCAAAAAAATGCAAACAAATAAATTACTGAAAAAGTCAGCAATTATTTTACTGAGTTAAACGGTAATTTGTGACAGTTCAGAGATTCTGCAATTTACGGAGTTTTCAGTAAAAGTAAAAACTACTGGATTGATTACTGAAAACTCAGCTGTTTAAAAACCCAGTAAAATTTTACCGACTTTGGTAATCTGAACTCTGTGTGAAGGTAAGTAAGTATGCTGCAGTTCGAGCTGCAGTTGCTAAATATAATCAATTTTTCTGTCTTCTTCCTTGATTTTTTTCCGTCGATCTTGTTTTCCGTACTGAAAACCAATGCTCCCGACGCCAGGAAGGCAGCTCCCACACCTGGACCCTACATATCGACCCATCAACTTATGAACCGGGGACCAACGGTTTTACTTTCCTTCCGAAGGAAGGCGTGATCAGTGAAAAAGAAAACAAAACATAAAAAAAATTGGCCATATTATTTTTGAATCAATAAACATATTTTTATTTCTACTGCGTGAATTGTCAGACTTCATAAAATAAATTTGATTGAATTAACAAGAAATCTCTTTTAAAAACAAACACATTTTTGTTGTTGACCCAGCTGCCAAGTTTTTTTTTTGATTTAAGAATCCATGGGTTTTGAGGAACAAAAATACTGGATTGTTGAAACAGTAATGATTTCTTTTTGCAGCCAAAACAAAATGAAATTCTTATTGATTTTACGTCAAATATTATTACGTTTAAAATATTTTTTCTGTGTGCAGCTGAGCCAAAAAGTTGAGCACGTTTCTTCGGGACCTTCTCGTCTTATACCTTGAACATACATGCAAAGTTCACTGTTGTACCAACAATCAATACGAAACTAACGATTTTAAATTGGCTCACTTCTTGACTAGCCTATTGGTCCCAAGCAAATCGATTTACGTATCCCATTCTAGTCAAAATTCTAGTACTACACAATGTTTGTTTTGATTCGCTATGAAAGTTTGACAAATGAAATGAGGGGTTAGTGGATTTTCCTATGTTTCGAGGGGTGACTCGATTAGCTTGGGACCGAAGATAGTACCAGAGCTGAGCCAAAAAGTTGAGCACGTTTCACCATCAAGAAAGCGCTATAACGTGTATAAAAATGGTTCATGCGTGCCTTATACCCCGTTCACATTACAGCGTATATCACGTGATACACGCTGTCTTGCTATGAGCACTCGTACATCTAGTTTTCACTGGAAATCCTATGTATTAGTGCTCATTGCAAGACAGTCTATATTATACCTTGTACAGACATACAAAGTACACTGTTGTACCATAGAGGTAACTCTAAGACCAGAAGGTCCCGCAGAAACGAGCTCAACTTTTTGGCTCAGCTCTGGTACTATCTTCGGTTCCAAGCTAATCGATTCACCCCTTGAAACATAGGAAAATCCACTAACCCCTCATTTTATCTGTCAAACTTTCATAGCGAATCAAAACAAACATAGTGTAGTTGGAATTTATACTAGAATGGGATACGTTAATCGTTTGCTTGGGACCAATAGGCTAGTCAAGTAGTGAGCCAATTTAAAATCGTTAGTTTCGTATTGATTGTTGATTGTACCAACAATCAATACGAAACTAACGATTTTAAATTGGCTCACTACTTGACTAGCCTATTGGTCCCAAGCAAACGATTAACGTATCCCATCGATTAACGTATCCCATTCTAATCGAAATTCTACTACTACGCAATGTTTGTTTTGATTCGCTATGAAAGTTTGACAGATAAAATGAGGGGTTATTGGTTTTTCTTATGTTTCGAGGGGTGAATCGATTAGCTTGGGACCGAAGAGAGTACCAGAGCTGAGCCAAAAAGTTGAGCACGTTTCTTCGGGACCTAGAGCTGAGCCAAAAAGTTGAGCACGTTTCTTCGGGACCTACTTGCCTTAGAGTTACCTCTATGGTTGTACTTCTTTAAGCTAGTACCTCAAATTGTACCTTTTAAGGTACTCGATTAAAGGAGTGCAACGGTACTGCTTTGTATGTCTGTCAATGGTATTATATGATCATGATATAGGCTGTAATGTGAATGGGGTATTAGTATAAACATGTATATATGCAGTTTGTTCAGGGCAGTGCGTTTTTTCTCTTTAGACGAAATTAAATTATTGATAGCATTAACAATGTCTGAGAGTTACATAATTACCAAATCAACGGATGCAGCCAGCCACAAGCACACTCACCGCATTGCAGGGACTCCACGAGCGATTTAAACGGTTGTGTACTACTGTGGTAACTACGGTTGTGGTAGTGCACCGGTTCACACGGGCTCCCGGAATTCTACCACTACTATGCGGGCAGTCTGATGGTCATCGGTAGGAGAGTGTAGAAAACTGGGAGAATAGTCAGTAGAAATAGATCCGTCGTCGCGATCAGTGACAAGGGGCAAACCCTTGTTATAGTTTTTTTTTATTGTTTACTGTTAGCCTTAAGAATAAATGTACGAGTGAATAAATAATGTAGTGTCGTTTGTTAAGCTTAAATAAATTCGTGTATTGTGTGAAGAGTGTGTTTGATTGCTGCATGTGAAGAAGGATCTGCCGATGACAAGGATACAGGAAGGATAAGGACAGGAAGGATAAGGATCAAGGAAGCAAAGGACGATTCGTTCAAGAAGGAGGTACGACCAGAGGTCGACCACCAAATCGGTCGGACAGGTTTCCGACATAAGCTGGTCCTTCGAACCGGATCTCCACTACCTGCGGACTGAATCTCGACGATCTCGGCGCCAATAAACGTCCATCAAAAGGCCAACCTGGGACAAAGCATTCGCGCCATTCCATAGTGCCCTGAATGGAACAGTCGCCATCTCATCGGTGCATGAATAGATCCTGTGGCCATTCCGATTGCATGAAAAGGAGTCAGCAGCCATCGTCTTGCTCATCAATAGTCCTTTTGAATCGCGCCCAATCTATCCACCATCGTCCTCTTCTGTGAAGACATCAGCTACATCAACCTTCATCAGCGAGTGGGAAAACGGACTTCGAAGGCTACATCGGTTATTCATCAGGATTGTAGAATAACCAGAGCGTTTTCTACTACCATTCCAGGTATGTTAGAACTTGTATATGTCTAGCCGAAGTTCTGGCCTATTCCCCACTAACGCCAACCCTACGATTTGTGCATATTGTTGTTTAATTTCTATGAGGACCTACTATCGACGGACACTACATTGGCATTGGTGAATCAGTTTGCGAAGAATCGATTCACAACGCTTCCTTCGATCGGTGCATGGTGCATGCAATCCAATGCGATTCGGTTGGACCTGCAACGACGACACAACTACGATTTATTTGCGACGACGGAGGACACCACGATTGCTTCGAGCTCGGGCATTGCAGCGGCCATTTGCGGTCAGGTAAATAGAATAATTACTCTTATAAGTATATGCCCAGCCGAAGCTGGATTTGGATACCACACCAATAAATTATTACCCTTTCGATGCACATTGGACTGTTTCGAGTCAACTCATTTATGGACGCAATCCCTGAGGTTTCACTGTGGTTTTCGGACTGAAGCTAATTCGTCAGCACCATCTTTAGTGCTCTAGGTGAGGCAAAGTATATGTCCTACCGGGGCAGGCTTATTTGTGAAACTACATTGGTCATTTTTTCTCCGCTGTACTGGATTTGAACTTTCGAGACGATTTCGTACTGTACTACTCGCTGCATACAAACATAAGAGACGATTTTGATGCCTTTTGAGCTCGGCTGCTGCTACATGCTACTGTTTCATAGGTGAGCTGAGCAGTATATGTCTAGCCGAAGTTTCAATTTTGTATACTACATTCGCTTCTTCACCCCCTCGCATTTCACTGGTTTGAATCTGAATCTGAGGTTACTGATCGAACGTTGGAGGTGTGTCGATTTGGATTTGCTGTTTGGCTTCGGAGGTGCCACTGTTTCTTCACACAGGTGAGGTGAACGGTATATGCCCAGCCGAAGTAGACAAATTTGGATACTACATCTACGTTTTCTCTCGCCTTTCTGAACTGCCAGTGGAGTAACCTGTTCATCAACTGACATTCGGTCGAGTTCCTGTACTGTGACGACAGCAATTATGGCAACAAAACCCGTAACCAGGAATGCCGAATCCCTGAAGGTTTTAACATCCAAACTCAAGGGGCTCAAATTATCATTAAGCAATATTTGTCAGTATGTTAAGAACTTCAAAGAGGGAACCTCTGCCAATCAAATTAATGTTCG